TCATGTAGCAGGGATTTGAAATGTCCTGTGACAAACCAAAGATTGTGGATTTCATCGTTAGTGAGATGGTTGTTAGTGAAAAGGAAGCATATGACCGTTCACTAAATACTCCAGCACTTTGATGCGTTACGAGGCCATTGATACTAACAAGCGAGCGTAGCATTGTGTGTTCGATGAACGATGAAGTGAAAATAGGAGTTATGTGTGGAGATGCTTGTGGAGATGCTTGTGGAGTTGTTTGTGGAGTTGTTTGTGGAGTTGTTTGTGGAGTTGTTTGTGGAGTTGTTTGTGGAGTTGTTTGTGGAGTTGTTTGTGGAGTTGTTTGTGGAGTTGTTTGTGGAGTTGTTTGTGGAGTTGTTTGTGGAGTTGTTTGTGGAGTTGTTTGTGGAGTTGTTTGTGGAGTTGTTTGTGGAGTTGTTTGTGGTTTGAAAAGTAGGAGAGAAGATGATAGAACCTCGATCGGTGGTAAATGGGAGGATCGATTGGGTGGTGCAATGATGGGGGCCAATTTTGTTAGGAGGGTACATGGACCTTAGGGGACGGACGGAAGGGGGATTGAGGCGGTTTGGGTGGTTCGGCTGAGAAGTCGCTATCTGCAGCATGGAAACAGAATCCTTGGAGTTCAATACCGCACCCTGACCGCGAACTCGCCCCTGCTTCTAGTGGAGGGCGGAAGTGATGTCTGACCATCGCGATCGGCTGTGTCAGAATTGGAATTGTCTCAGTCCAGTATGATCCTCACAACTCCATCGTGCCCTTGAGAGAGACGGCCAAAGGTAATGGAGTTTGATTCTTTATATCTGGCGCGGCGATGGAGGTATCATCCCGTTCCAAAAGAATCTTTACTAACCATTCAGGCCACCCACGAGAGTGGTGCCCAGCCATAGTGAATATCGGCCGGTTGGGATTGACGCCCTCTTATCTCAAAAACATCTTTACTACCCCCTTATGCCCATTCTCAGCTGCCCACGAGAGTGGCCTCCGGCATATTGGGTCTCTGCCTGATCGGATTGACATCCTCTCGTTCCAATAGCACCTTTACTGTCCCCTCCTGCCCGTTCCCAGCCGCCCACGAGAGTAGCGTCCAGGCATATTTGGTGTCTGCTTAGTTAGGATTGACGCCCTCTCGCTCTAACAGCATCTTTATTACCCCGTCATGTCCTCTACTAGCTGCCCATGTGAGAGCCGTACTCCCCGTAAAATAGGCTGCATTAACATCCCATTCCTTCATATACAATACCACTACGGCTATCTCCATGATCACGAGGAATGCTCCTCCGTGGAGTCCTGTAAATCTCATGGGTCCTTATCGCATGCCGCACCCAATAAGCCGAAGCATACTCTAGAAGGGGCGCTGTTACGGGCGCCGAGTCAAGAGTTGGCGAAAGACACCTGATAGATCCAAAATTGACTGACGTTAAGCAAACCTCCGCGATTGCTGAGTGAGGGTTATGGGATAAGGTCGGATCACGCAAGAGATGCTCCTGCGGGGTAAAGTGCACCAGTCGGACAGTGGGCGAAGACACCTCGACGTGACAAGTCCCAGACATGATGAGAGGAGTGTCCATAAAGCTGGAACGTTTTCCGGATCTAGTTCCGTAGATCCTATCTCCACTCCCAAGGCATGACAGAGCTCCTCGGCTCGCAACGGCCATTCCGAATATAGCACCCACATCAGGACCTTCAGCCTGAGTACTGATTTATATCCCTTCTGTGCCTTGAGCCGTGGTAGAGTTGCCGTGTAGGCCTCGCTCAGTCCATTTCCTTGTGTTATCTCTTCAAGTTTCTTCCTCCTCGGATGAATTGTCACCTCCCCTAGAATAGCCTCTATATTGAGCGAAACTAGGAGGAACCTAGATACAATCGTTAGTAAGTATTCATCGTTGATAGTGTGGAAACGCCCGCTGCTCCCACGCACATATCAGATCTTTTCTGGAATAACTCTCACAATATCCGCCCCTATTTGTTCATCGCGTCTGGCTCGGCATCCCTGTCTAACAACCTCCTCTCCACATAATTCAGACATAGTCCGCGTTAGAGCCGATAGACACCACAACCGCCTTGAAGAAATGCCCTTGAGCATCTTCCCTGATATGGGGCCTCCCGGTGAGGAATATTCTGGTCTTAGGGTATTCCCGATTCCCGAATAAGATCATCCAGTTTGACTCGAGAAGCTCTAGCAGGTGCCCTGGTAAGCATTCGTCCAACGCGTTGAGACAGATTAAAACTCGGGGTAGCGAAGCAATGGCAATTTTCAACATCCCCATCAGATCCGTAAGCCGTGTCCCTCTACCACCAAACTCCATTTTCCATTTTTGAAATGCTTCGTCCATCGGGATCCCTCCTCTGCCTATTAGCTGCTTTAGAATAGCTCTTATAATTTTGGTAATCGTCTATTCTTGTTAAGAAAGGTAGTCGCAGTACAAGCCTACAATAGCGATATTTTCCCCCGCCGCCTGCATGAAAATAAGCTTTATCAGGCACCAGCAGTCGTGGTAAAGGCTTTGGGCAAAAGTCTCTGGGAGAAATATCTCCCATTTATCATAGACGATAACTAAAGGGAAATGATTGAATATTGCAGACTTTAGCTGTAAATGCTTATCCCCCCGAATGCTACCACCCCGAACAGAACAACAACAAAGAGAGGGAAAGCTTCAGCCACAGAACCATGAAAACCACCACAACTGCCTGCCAACAGTGGCGAGAATGCCGGAAGCCACTCGCATCTTCAAGCAACTAGGAGGGTGGCTACATGCATTTTCCCGGCAAGGTAACTGATTTCGTGACACTCCCCTAAGCTATCATAGTGTCCTTCTTGGCGATTTGGGCTTGGAGAAGCTGTTGATCTTGTTTGCGGCATTCGCGAGCTTCACACATCTGTCTTGTGTTGGCAGCTACCGTAAAATTCCCTCCAGCAGTGACGAGACCGATCAGAACTAGTTCCCGGCGGCGGGGGTTAGAGACTGAAAAATATAATAACACACAATTAGTAAGTGGAATGTTTCATAACTATAGGATTTGGGAAACAAACCAAGCGAGTGTAGCATTGTGTATTCGATGAACGATGAAGTGAAACTGGGAGTTGTTTGTGGAGTTGTTTGTGGAGTTGTTTGTGGTTGGAGTGATATTTGGAAGGTAACTTGGAACTGGGTGGAGCTCTATGTGGCACTCTTCGGGGGTGGCTACTGTTCTCAAACGCCGCATCACATCCAGCGATCTGCATCCCCGCGATTCTCTTCTGGGCAACTGGCCTCCGCTCCCGGTTGCTCTCAACCAGATCTCCAACCAAGTAACCAACGATGCCGGTGTTCCACTTGATTTAGAATATGCCGATACCAAACTCTCAGACAACGCACTTGCGAGGTCGGGGGGAGTTTTGCGAATGTTGCCGGAGCGCAGGCCAATTACCAAGTTTGAGGGGGAGCATATCCGCGCTAGCACTGGGGAGTCATTTACGAGCGGAGAGAGTATGAAATTGGAGAGGGACTAGGGTAATGCCGATGAACGTGCAGTGAGTGATTCTTCCGATGAAGACGAGACTAGTAGTGCCGAAGATAGCGCCGGACCAAACCCTTCAGTGAGTGAGTAAAATAAGAGAAAAAAGAAAAGAGGTGGAATAGACATAAGGAAGGGGGCTATTAGTATGCGGAGGACAAGCATGAGCTTACTGGCTGCCGCAGAGGGTGAACGTATGTACTCCTGCCTACATTCTAGGGGTGGCTCTGACTTTTCCGATAGAGAAGGCTATGAGTGCTAGGTATAGTGTTTGCTCCCTCCTACCCTCAATATCGATTACCCCGTTGGGTAGTGTCCCTGGAGCCACATCTCCTGCGAAAAAATAGATGATTAGGTGTGCATCCTTCTACGAATTTTGGCCCACCGTCGCATAACTCTACGCCAATGCCCTCAAATTCAGGAGCGGATGCCCGCGATCTGCATCGTGCTCAATGAATGGAGATGATCTTATCTCCTATCACTTCCACGCCGGAGACTCAACGTGTCATTGGGACAATTCTGAGTGGGGAATATGAGTCGATAGTCAAGAAGGCAGAGGAAGGTAATAAGCGGGTACGAAACTCTCTTGTTGCTAAGGATTTGAGTTGGGAGACCCAATATACCCTGGAGTGGCCAATAGGGATGGTTCTCAGAGACGGCGATACTCTGATGGTCATATATGCCATCAATCAGAATACGGTAGAAGATGGCGGCAAGATTGTTCCAGATGACAGGATAGCCGGAAATTTGAGTGGCCAGGCTGCCGCCATGGGAACTAGCTTTACCGCTATTAACATACCTCACCCGGAACAGCGTCTCCGTTATCCAACATTGGGGATATTTCGGAGAGGGGTAGGGAGCGCACGGAGGCTGAGGGGGGGCGGGCGTTTGGCAGAGGCGATCACTAGGCTGGTTCGAAAACCTTTGGGGGAGACGAGGCTGCAAGTCGGGATCGCTGTCGGGGCGGGAGTCCGAAGCGTCTTCTCACTAAAATCCTAAGTTTGAAATTTATTTCTCGATATACGATTGTCTGACTAGTATGATTTAGATCGGCTTTATCGAACCTACACTTATGGTCCTTGGTTCCCGTGGTATCATAGTAGTGCTCTAGAGGGATGGATGCCCTGAATTACACTCTGTTAGTATTACATTATAAACTAGCTCATCACCTACCGTCCTTCTGGGCTCCTTCTCCAATTACCTAGTCACTAAATCCTCTGTCCCTGTCATGGTTGCCGGAAAAAACTCAAGCATACTAAAACCTTTGCTAAAACCGACATCCGGCAGCCCAATAGCAGGCCGCCGCCATAGAACCAGTATAGGTTCTTCCAATTCGCGCTGGTTTGAAATGCATTAAACAAAGGGAACGGACCCGCGCGCCTCCCGTCAGAGATAAAAAAAAATTTAATTTGGTGGGAGTGATGCCAGGAAGGATAAAAAGTCTTGGCATCCTAAACCCTATCCAACTGATTACCAACATCCATTCATGAGTAATTAAATAATGGGATTTTGTAGTGTAGTTGGTTATATCACTAGTTTAACACACCGGCGGTTCCAGGTTCGAGCCAGGCTGAAATCTTTTTTCTTTTTTTCTCCAAAATGTCTCGAGCCGTACCCATAATATGTTCTGTATTTCAATGGAAATGATTGCTGTCACTGGTTTCCCTGCACAACTTCAGTAGCCGCACTCATCAACCTGCCACAAATCCCCTGGGAAGGGCTTCCTTATTGGAAATTGAATCAACTATTCAATGTATGGCGCGGTAGACTTTCCGATAACCAAGTGAGATCTCATGAATGGAAGACCTCGGTGGTGGGTGTGTGATAAGTAGGAGTATACTAGTACTCCCGAGTATACGGGAATAAAAAAGCGATGGGAGTTGCTACTAGACTGGAAAAAAATAGTGGGGTGTTGAATTTGTTGTCTATCCACTGCACAGAGCAGTCTTTTCACAACTATCCCTCCACCACCAGTATTTTCATCCCTGGTTTTTCATAAAAAATTTCATTTCATTTCATCCTTCTTCTCTCAGCCTTACAGCTATACTTTATTCAACTATGGCATAATTTTTCCTGCTGTTAATTTTTTCCCATTTGATGCTCTCCCTAATACTAGGATAACCTTCTTGCTCTCTCTCCCTGTGCTATTTCTCCATGTATCACCATCCCCAGTTATTCTCTTTCTTCTTCTCTTCCCTGATTGCCTATGCAAGTGCGCTCAAGCACCCCTAGTGGACGGTCAAGGGTTTTCTCTCTTCTTCACATGAACAATCACAAAAGAACGAGTGATAGAATATGATTAGACAAACCGCCATCCTTTGGTGACTCCGCGGAGAGCAAATAGCGGTCAAGAAAAATTATACACTCTTAAATTACACGACTAGGAGCCGGAATTTCCTCTCCTTCAAACGGCCTGATATCCTAAGCGTTGGGTAGGGGGGTGTTTGGTGGTGTATTGCGTAAAAATATTCATCTCTCAGAGGGTATACCGTGAATAAATATTATAATAAATCTGTAGGGATCTATTGCGAAGAGAATACTGAAATATTTTTGGGATATTGGAAGCCTGTGCCTAGAGTATCCAAAGACCCGCTACCCTAGAGCAGCCTACTTAGTTGCTAACTCAGTTGTTATAGTATAACGTGTGCTATCCCGGCTGCTCGGGATTGAATGAGCTTTCTGATTCCCTTGAACAACTTTGAAAAGGTCAGCATACTAGGCATCTAAGATTTCAAAAAACAAAAAGGACCATGATAGCCTAAGCTGGGTTGTGAGGGAGAAAATTTAATTATGGTATTTATTTAATAATGTCCCTACTATTGTTCTACTGCTTTGGACCCTATGCTTTGACAGGTTGATTAACTTATAAGCGCAAGCTTTTTCTTTTCCGTTATCTATCATAAAGATATTTCCAGCTTCAGAGACTTAATGAGGACGTGCCTAGATCTCATACAGTGAATCTGTCCCCTTGTGCATAGTGCATTTGCCGATTGACTTTCTCTGACAGTACTTTGAAACATCGCACATCGAGAACTCTCCTGGCCTATGGGAGGTCAGACCCCAATCTAAGGGGGCTCGGGGGTAAAGACCTCACAAATTTCTCCCCTTTTATTTCTTTTCGGCAGTCCTGAAAATGCTTGGTTTCTCAGGCACTGGGGAATTCTTATCATAGTCCGAGGCCAGTTTGTATGTGCGAGACCTTTACCTTAGGATATTAGACCGAACGGAAGAGAGCATCACATACCATCACTGTAACTTTGTCATAAAGTCCTACGGAGGAAGACCTCAACCCTACTCCTCCATAGAACGTATAGAAGGCAGCGCTCCTTTCAAAAAGTTTAATGAAATAAAAGTTGAATAAAGGAAAATACCATAACCCTAATTAGGGTTTTCAGAATACCAAGTCAATAAGACCCACAGTGTCAATGAGAGCAACCAAGTTCTGAGTCCCGAATATAAGGCCGATTTTACTCGCCTTCAAACACTCACATCTACACCTCCACCACGAAGAAAAAACATCAACACACCACTACAAAGGTTTCGCCATCAAGGTGCCCCGCTATACACCTATCTTATCGGAAGTTGGACTCCTACTTTTATTTGCTCTCTCCATCTGCTAGCCCCCTAATTCCTAGCAATGCCAATGTTGGAAGGGGCAATTCTCTCCCAGTTAATGGGCTTCCTGCACAATGGAACAGGCACAAACAAGGACTTCGATATGGTACTGCTTCAATTCGAGAAAGTGGTCCACGATATGGTTATTAGTCACTTTAAAATTCCTGAGGAATCCGTCGGAAAGTTTATCCAAGAGCAAATCCAGGTAAGCCCCAACACACCTTCCTAAGCGGTTATTATTGTTGCTATTGCAGCGATTGCACAAAAAGCTAACCATGGTGGAACACATAGGAAATCCACAAACTCTTCGGCCAAGTCCAAGCAATCGCCGAGAGCTATCAACTATGGGGTCAGACCCCGAATTACTTCTGCAAGCGTGACATTGCAAAGTAAGCCTGCGGCTTCCCAGGACAATTAATCGCGGGTTTCCTCCTCTCGGGCAGGCCAATTCCAGAATTCTCACCGGAAGATGAGTAACTTGTCAGGGATCTCATCGCCGTTATGGAGAACGAAGAATCTGTTCATGACTTCTTGAATACTAAGCCTTACGTTGACCATTGGGGGGGCATGGGTGATCAGGACTTCATTGATCTGGCTCGTCGTATTGTGGTAACATTTTGTTCTCTTTATCTCACTTGCCCCACCTGGGTCCGGTAGTGCTTGTGTGGCTAATGGGGTGCTAGATTGATCTCAATGCTATGCACGAGCACGCGGATGAGGATAACAAGTTCATGGCTCTGACGCGCCAGGAGAGGATCCAAGACCTTTTAGATCTTTTGAAGGTTTCAAATATTTCCCCTCTTTGCGATCCGCCAGTGCTGATGATCCAACAGAAATGTAGAGGCATCTTGTCTGTCAGATACTACTTTCATATACTGTAGCGTTTGCATTGGTGGTTGTTTTCTCTCCTCATGCGATCTAGCGATTCTATTTGGTGTTTTGTCAGTCGGTTTGTGCCCTCGTGCGCGCATTTTTTTGATTGATTGTATGTATGTATGTATGTATGTATGTATGTATGTATGTATGCATGGGTGTGTGTTAAAACGAAACTATATGAAAATCCAAATTGTTTTTTGAGAACAAGTTAATTCGTCGCCTTTGTTTGTAGGAAGAGGTTGATTATTCCGTGATAGGTGATTGGGATAGTACTGGGGGATTATCTGCGCTTAAGTATCTGAAGGGATTGAGCAATGGTTATTAAGTAAGCGACGTGTGGAAGCATAGTATAGAGTTCAGAGAGCGCTAGACTAGAGTGCATGAACTATCATTCGGACACTAACTGATTCCCCAGCCTTCCTCGATGAAGCTGTAGGGCAAATCGGTACTGCTAGGAGGCGGTAGAATCTGACTCTAGACCATCCGTCCTGTGGGGAGGTCAGCGATCGGCAGGGCAGTACAAGATAAAGGAAGGAGAGAAAAAAAGAAGAGAAAAAAAACTTTTCTCGATTTGGAGTGCCGACTCTAGTACGCGTAAACGTCGGTAAGTATGCATCGTTGATGGAGTGGAAAGGCAAAATGCTCCTACGCACATTTCAGACATCTTTTTCAGAATAACTCCCACAATATCCGCCAGTAAATATTTGCTCTTCGCCTCTGGCTCGGGATCCCTATCTGACCTTACCTCTAGGAAATTCCTGGTATTGTCCATGTTAGGGCTGATGGGTGTAATAAGGGCCTTGAGGGAATATCTTGGGATATCTTCCCTAATGTAGGACCTCCCGGTAAAGAATGTTCTTGTCCAAGGGGACCCCCGAACAATACCTGTTAGAGATATGAGAAGCTCTAGAAAGTGCTTCGGTAATCATTCGTCGAGGGAGTCGATACAAATGAAAACTTGGTGTAGCGAAGCAATGGCAATCCTCAACACCTTATCGGACCACAAGTCACGGCCCTCCACCACCAAACTCCATTTTCCCTTTTTAAAACGCGTCACGTAGATCCTTCGAGATCCCCCCCTCTGCCGACTAGTTGGTTTAGAATACTTCCTAGGATGTTGGTGATTATCTGCTCTTGTTGGGAAGGGTAGTCGCAGTACAAGCCTGCAACGGTGATAGATTCTTCCTCCGTCCTATGAATAGGCTGACGATCACCAGGGGACTAGTATTTCTCGGCATCTACGGTATTTTTTTTTCCTCTCACATAATCCCACCTCTTGCCTCAGGTATATCTTGTCCACTCCTTGATTCCTAAAGCCAAAAAAAGGACAACCCCATTAGCTCTACCCTCACTACCTCTCCACCCCCGAAACTCCCTCATTTCCAAAACCCAATTCCAGACACCACCAAATCGGTCGGTGCGTATTCCTTGGTGTCTGTTATTTGGCTCCAGTGGAGAGAGCCGGCGGATAATTTGTGTCTTCTCGTCCAACTTATAGGAGGTGTTATTGAGACTACCCATGATGTTGCCGCAGCCGGTATTGCCGTCACAGATGTTGACCGCTTGCATTCGTGAGGTTTGAGCCATGGTACTCAATCTAAAATGTTGGCTAAGTGTAGAAATGGCGGAGGAATTTATCCGGGTGCCAGGGGAGTTTAGAAACATCCTATGACTAGAATTGAAGAAAGCGAGGCGATGTGGTTTGTTGTGCCATAATTGCTATCCAATCATTTGCGCTCCCTACCGCTCTCCGAAATATCCCAAATGTTGGATAACGGAGACGCTGTTCCGGGTATATGAGGTATGTTAATAGGCGTAAGGCTAGTTCCAATGGCGGTAGCCAGGCCGCTCAAATTTCCGGCTATCCTGTCATCTGGAACAATCTTGCCGCCATCTTCCACCGTATCCTGATTGATGGCATATATTACCATCAGAGTATCGCCGTCTCTGAGAACCATCCCTATTGTCCACTCCAGGGCATGTTGGGCCTCCCCACTCAAATCCTTAGCAACAAGAGAGTTTCGTACCCGCTTATTACCTTCCTCTGCCTTCTTGACTATCGACTCATATTCCCCACTCAGAATTGTC